GAGTACATTGTGTACTCAGGGTTTATTTACCGTGTTGTAGGTATAGCTTGAGGAATGGCTGTTGTGTGGAGGATTCTTCTGGTGGGCACAGATGGATCCTTGTATCTTATCGTTAGATGTTCTTTCGATTCCGCTGTCTAAATTCCGCACTCAGAACTTGGTATTGTGATAATGTATTTTCGAGAACTATTATTGTATGAAATGGACTAAGTGATGTAAACTCGTTCTCATTATTAGATCCTGGGTGAAAAACATGGATTGTTCGAGTTCTCCCTTGGGGTGTGCTCGACGAGACTATCCGTTGTAGCCAACTTTTAGGGTGCTTAGTGTCTAGTGGAAGACGAGCGCCCCTGGAAGCGTGCTATTTTGGACGGTTCTGCCATAAAATGGCTCCTCACGCTAGTGTGAAGACGTATCCTGATGTCAACCTTCTACCATCAACACAACCAACGTGATCAGCGTCTGCATAGCCAATAACTTCAAAGTTGTCAGACTTCTTATACGTGAGCATGTAATGCTTAGTCCCTTGCATATTACATAAAACTTTCTTAACACCTTCCAATGGTCCATTCCTGGATTTGATTGAAATCTACCAAGCATCCTAGTTATATAAGCTAAGTCAGGGTGTGTGCATACTTGTGCATACATAAGGCTTCCGATAGCAAAAGCATAAGGAATAAACTTCATGTAATCAGATTGTATCTTAGTTTTGGGACATTGATAGTCACCAAACTTATCGGCCTTCACAACAGGTGCAACCATAGGTGAACATTTACTCATGTTATATCTCTCAAGTACTTTCTTAATGTATGAAGTTTGAGACAAACCTAACACACCTTTGGACCTATATCGGTGCATCTCAATGCCCAAAACGTAAGAGGCTTCACCGAGATCCTTCATATCAAAGTTAGATGAGAGGAACCGCTTAGTTTCTTGCAGCATGTTTTTATCACTGCTTGCTAATAGAATATCATCCACATAAAGTACTAGGATAATAAATTTGCTCCCCTTGACCTTAATACATTTGCAATTATCCCTTTTATTTTTAGTAAAGCTAAAATTCTGAATCACATTATCAAACTTAATGTACCACTATCTAGACTCTTGTTTAAGTCCATAGATAGATTTCTTTAGTCTGCAGCACATATGATCCTTGCCTTCCACAACAAAACCTTTCGGTTGAGCCATGTATACATCTTCATGTAAGTCACCATTAAGGAATGTAGTCTTAACGTCCATCTGATGCAACTCTAAATCATAATGAGCAACAAGTGCCATGACAATTCTTAGTGAATCTTTCGATGAGATGGGAGAGAAAGTGTGATTATAATTAATCCCTTCTATCTGCGTAAAGCCTTTTGCTACAAGCCTTGCCTTGAACTTTTCCATCTTCCCTTTGGAGTCATATTCAGTTTTGTAGACCTATTTGCTGCCTACTGGTTTGACCCCATCAGGAATTTCTACTAAGTCCCAGACTTTATTAGAGCTCATAGATCTTAGCTCATCCTCTATGGACTCCAACCATTTAGATGAGTTTAGGCTCATCATGGCTTCTTTATATGTTCTGGGGTCATCCGCCAGTCCTATGTCGTTAACATCTTCATACATGTACATGGCATAGTCTTTTGAAATGGTGGATTTTCTCTGCCGTTGTGACCTTCTTGTAGGTTCTCCAGTTGTCACAGGGGTCTGCTAAGTTTGCATAGGCCCAATTTCCTCATTAGTTGCCTCACCATCAGGTGTTGAGCTATCTATCCCTACATTTTCAAGTGGGTGCTCACTCTCAGAATTTTCTGTTGCGGGTGCAGCCCTAGAGTCCTCAGCTAGATGTGGAACTAAATTCTCAGCTGGAGGTGTGATTATTTTAGGCACAAAAACAAAGTTCCCGTGGAATGTCGGTAATGGTACATTATCCCGTATTTCTCTGAAATCAATGCTTCAAGGCTTAGAACTCCCACTTGAGCCATCATGTTCTAAGAAGACTGCATGTCTAGTCTCTGCAAATTTCGTGGTACGATCCGGACAATAAAAGCAATACCCCTTAGATCTTTTAGGATACCCTATGAAATGACAACTTACTATCTTAGGATCTAGCTTCCCAATATGTGGATTACATAATTTAGCTTCGGCTAGACAACCCCACACACGCAAATAATTTATATTGGGTTTTCTACCAGTCCATATCTCATAAGGTGTTTTAGGGACTGATTTTCTAGGAACCCGATTAAGTACGTGCACGGCTGTCTTTAATGCCTCCATCCACAAACTCACTGGCAGCGTAGAGTTACTTAGCATACTTCGGACCATATCCATTAGGGTGCGATTACGCCTCTCAGCTACTCCATTTTGTGGAGGTTCATCAGGAGTTGAATATTGGGCAACTATGCCATTTTCCCGAAGGAAATGAGCAAACAGACCGGAGATTTGTCCGTATGGAGCAGCTCTCCCATAATACTCCCCTCCACGATCTGATCTTACCACTTTGATCTTTAAATTATGCTGATTTTCAACTCCAGACTTAAATATCTTAAACTTATCAAGTGCTTTAGATCGTTCGCGTATTGGAAAGATGTATTCATAACGGGAGTAATCATCAATGAAGGTAAAGAAGTAACTAAATCCATCAACTAATGTAACAGAGAAGGGACCGCATATATCGGTATGAATTAATTCTAATAGTCCCGAACTCTGTATTGCTCCTTTCTTAATTTGCTTCACCTATTTCCCTTAATACAATCAATACAGTGCTCTGAGTCAGAGAAGTCTAATTGATGAAGTATCTCTTCTCTAATGAGACACTCCATTCTCCCCTTCGAAATAATGTGGCCTAAACGACAGTGCCACAATTTCGACGAGGTCTCATTAGTGATGCTTCTCTTTCGCTTATTAGTGACATCGCGCACATTCATCACAAAGGAATCATTAAGAGGTAATAAATAAAGTTTGTCATGCCTGGGGGCACAACCAACAATCTCATCATCAAACTTAAGCAAACATTCGTTGTTCCCAAAGTTACAATGAATACCATCATCGTCCAACATAGAAATAGAAATAAGGTTTCTTCTCATGATAGGAACAAGTAGCACATTATTCAAGTTAAGAATGAAACCACTACTTAAAAGCAATGGGAGAGTGCCGACGGCCTCAGCATCAGTCTCATGTCCGTCAGCAACTCTAAGCTTGCGCTCCCCCTTTGCCAGCCTCTGGACAGTAAGGAATCCCTGTGATGAATTAGTAATGTGCACGGTGTCACCAGAATCAATACACCATGTATTAGGAGAAACATTAGCATAAAGGGTTTCATCAACAAAAGTAATTACATCATGAGTACCTTTCTTGGCAAGCCAGATCTTGAACCCATCACAGTCCTTTCGGATGTGCCCAAAGTTCTTGCAGAAGCGACACTTGGGCCCATTGGCACTTCCATCAACGCTGGTACTTCCCTCAGCATTGGCAGTATTAGTCTTTTTGAAGTCATGCTTCTTTGCCTTGAGGAAGTTCAACTTCTTTTTAGATTTAGGATCCCCATGGTTCCTTCTTTTGCCTTGGCCAATAAGGTTAACTTGATTCTTGTTATCAGCCTTCTGCCTCTCTTCTTCCTGTACACACTTAGCAATGAGTTCACTCACATTCCACGTTTCCGTTAGGAGGTTGTAGTTGACCTTAAACACCTCAAATTTGGGACTAGGAAGTGAAGTCATGATAAAATGCACTAAGAAGTTATTAGAGATGGTCATATCCATGGTCTTAAGTTTTCCGACCATATCAACCATCATCATGATATGTTCTCTAATGCCGGGACCCTGAGTACTTAGTTGAAACCATTTTCATAATCAAAGTACTAGCCTCAGCCTTAGAAGAGCTCTTGAACTGCTCTTCAATGTTTGCTAGGTACTTCTTAGCATTATCTAAGGTGGGAATAGCTCCCCTGATTGCAGGAGTAATGTTGTTCTTCATGACCTTTACGACCAACCTGTTGGAGCGTTCTCACTTCCCTAGTTTTTCCTCATACTTGGCAGTCCTAGCAGCTAGGGTAGCATCATTATCACCCACAGCCGTAGGAGCAACTGGCTCATCCTCACGTAATGCCAGGTCCAATTCATTCACCCCGAGCCAAATCTCAAGCTTCTCTTTCCATGACTTGAAGTTAGTGCCATTGAGAGGGGTGAAGTTGGTGAGCTAACGGGTGAGAGGCGAACCATTAGCTGAATAAAATAAACCAACACAGCATTAGTAACAACAATTCGCATCACCGTTGGGCAGAAACGAAAAAGAACCCATAATCATAATCATAATCATAAATTTGTGACACATGCATATAAAATCAACGTTGGTCAGAAAATATATAGATAGGCCACACTTAAGTTAAATTCTCCAATTAAAATTTTCCGTTGGTTCTATTTTAATCAGAGAGCTTAAACATAATTTGCAGCGGAAATTAACATCATCATGGGCATAAATAATCATAAAACAGTGCTGCAGTAAAATTAACACAATTCATAATGCACTGAAAATATTAAAGCCCATAAACGTAATGCTTTTGGCCCATAAACATCAGTGGCCCAATTGAAAATTCATAAAATCATTAAATGAAAGGGCGACCCAACATAGATCGCATTTGGCCCAGTCCATCAGAGGGCTCCCCTTCATCCGCATGGACCATAAGCCCAAAGTCCTAGGCCTGTGCTGCCATTCTGCCCTGTGCGCGTGCTCACTCGTAGACCCAGCTTATGGCCACGCAATCTCATCCGTTCATCTGAATCGAACGGTTACGGTGGCATCTGCTTGGAACAAAAAACAGGAAACCTCAAACCCTAATTCATTCTGCTCCCTCACCTCCAAAAAACATGCACGCCACCAGGTCATTAGGGCAGCGGCGCCGTGGGAATTTGAGCGGCGGCGGTTGGATAGATGGTGGCGCCGGTGTGGGGCCCCTCGTCGGAGTGTGAGCGCGGCCTGGCCAGCGCGCCCCTCTGCCAAGCGGCTTCTCGCCTACGCCCATGACGGCGGCGGTGCGCGCGGTAATTTATCGTGGCGGCGCGGTGGACGGAGCGGAAGCAGCGTCGCGAGCTTCACCGGCGCGCGCGCGGCCAGGGCATGAAGGCAGTGTGCACGACGGCCTCGACGCGAGAGCTCCGGTGCTGCAGCGCGGCGGCGGCGGCGACCCTGCAACATTTTATCCACGCGGGCATGCCAGCATGCCGAAGGGGCAAAGCCGCGCAGGTGAGTATCAACCCGACGGTGGCCCTCCCCTTGGCGCACGAATGGTGCCGTCGTGCCAAACTTGAGGGCAACGGCGACCCAGGCCTAGGTAACGTCATGCCAAATCCATCTCAGTGGAATTAGGGTTCGTCCATGAGGATTTGGGAATTTTTTTGGGGAAAACGTCATCTAGGGTTTCGGGATTTTGGGGATTTCATCGCAATTGAACTGATTTGCTCATCGCCTCCTTCTAATTTCATGATCCAAAACCCTAGCCCCGAATTGCATTAAATTATCATAAAATTGGCATGAACAGAGGATAAATTAGCCCAAATTCATGACTAATCCGAGTTAATCAGAGGCATAAACATCATTACCCAAAACAGTTAGCCCTAATCATGATGACTTCGTTCTACCCGCGCAAGATAGGCATATATCAGAGACATAAAAGCATTAATCATGATCACTAAGACCTAATCATGTGTAATTAAGGGCTAATCGTCATTAACAGTAAGTGATCAGGGCGCAATTAGATCAAAACCGACCTCTAATTATCCAAACCGAGGCAGATCCGAAAATGAAGGATCACTGACTAGACTAACCGGCTCTTGATGCCACAATATTAGATCAAGATCAACACAAATGATGATCTAGCCTAGTCAAAAGATCACATCATGATCATGAAACACAGACCTTGGGGTTCCGCCATCGGTGGAGTAGGGATGTGAGGACGAGGACGGTGTTGTTTGGTGGTGTAGCGTCGACCTTCAGGATGCCAGTGGCACTGGCCAATCACGTTGGTTGGTGCCGGAGTCGGAGAAGAAGGGCGGCGCCCTTTGGGTCGATCCAGCGCCCTCTTATGATCGGGAAAAGAAATGTCGGGGTGGTCTGTTTCTCAAATGTGCGTTGGCCAAAGGAGAAACTGGGCCACCTCTTTTAATATGGCGCTGCTCGACTCGGGGCCGCAACCATTTGTTGGTTTGGACGCTACCGATCGTCGCGCGTGTGGGGTTTCCCACGGGTCCCTGACTAACTCGGCCAGGGGAAACGGTCCTTGACCGCGTACCCCTTCGTAACGGTTGGAGCCAGAGATCACTTAATTCCAACAGAAAGAATAACCAACACGGTTGATTTTGTGATGAACCAACGAGTTAGTTCATGCTATTACAGTTAATAAATACGGAATGAGAAATTGTGGAAAAGTGGTATTAACCTACATGTGTGGTTACTGGTTTGGTAGACATTTTGAACACTATATATGGCTCGCAAGGAGACTTAGGTAAGGTCCACTGGCTAGAAACAAAATCAACAAATAGATAAATAGACCATGGAGACTTAGGTAAGGTCCACTTCCTTCAAGAGTCTCTTTAGGCGGCAATGTCCATTACTTTATTTTACTGTTAGAAGAGGCGACGACACACATACACATTGGGTCTGATTTCGGTCGACCCCATGTATGCACGTCACCGTTACCCAGTCCACCACGAGTCTTCGTCGCCAAGCCTGGTTGCGTTCGTGACGTCGTGGCTTCGTGCCGGGCCATGCTGCTCCTCTCTATATAAGCAGGTTCACATTCTGAAGCTGCATCTCACTGCATCTCAGCCTGGGAAGCAAGAATTCAAGAAACAGCACGCCATGGCGTCTATTTCGAACTTTCTGCTTCTCCTGCTGTGCAGCTATCTCACTCTCGTTGCTCACGCAGCAGACGATCGCCGCCACAAGGTTCTGTCCGTTGGCTCTCTGAAGTCTGCCGCTACCTGCTCCGAGGCCAAAGGTGCAGTAATGTCCATGAACGCACCTGCAATTCCAGTTGGTTACAGCATTTTTGTGTCAGTTGTAATCGTCTCCCATGTTTGGACTGGTTGTTTCAGTGACTCCATCATCCAGCGGCGGCGTCACGGTGCCGTTGCACCACCGGCACGGCCCATGCTCGCCTGTACCCTCCAAGAAGATGCCCACCTTGGAGGAGAGGCTCCGGCGTGATCAGCTTCGAGCCGCCTACATCAAACGGAAGTTCTCTGGCGCCAAGGGTGGCGACGTCGAGCAATCGGACGCCGCTACCGTGCCGACCACGCTGGGCACCTCCCTGAGCACGTTGGAGTACGTGATCATCGTCGGCATCGGGTCGCCGGCCGTGACCCAGATCATGTCCATGGACACCGGCAGCGACGTGTCGTGGGTGCAGTGCACGCCGTGTTCGCAGTGCCACTCCGAGGCGGACTCGCTCTTCGACCCCAGCGCGTCGAGCACCTACTCGCCCTTCTCCTGCAGCTCCGCCGCCTGCGCGCAGCTCAGCCAAAGCCAGCAGGGGAACGGGTGCTCCAGCTCCCAGTGCCAGTACATTGTCAACTACGGCGATGGCTCGAGCACGACCGGGACCTACAGCTCCGACACCCTGACGATGGACTCCAACGCCATCAAGGGCTTCCAGTTCGGGTGCAGCCACTCAGAGTCCGGCGGCTTCAACGACCAAACCGACGGGCTCATGGGGCTCGGCGGCGGCGCGCAGTCTCTCGCGTCCCAGACGGCGGGGACCTTTGGCAAGGCCTTCTCGTACTGCCTCCCGCCGACTCCGGCCTCCTTTGGGTTCCTCACTCTTGGAGCGGGAAGCTCGGGTTTCGTGAAGACGCCGATGCTCAGGAGCCTCAAGATCCCGACGTACTACGGCGTGCTCCTTGAGGCCATCAGGGTGAGAGGTCAGCAGCTCAACATACCCACCTCGGTCTTCTCCGCCGGGTCGGTCATGGACTCCGGTACGATCATCACGAGGCTGCCGCCGACCGCGTACTCGGCGCTGTCGTCGGCTTTCAAGGCCGGGATGAAGCAGTACCCGCCGGCACAGCCAAGCGGCATCCTCGACACTTGCTTTGACTTCAGCGGCCAGTCCATCAGCATACCGACCGTCGCACTAGTCTTCTCCGGGGGCGCCGTCGTCGACCTCGCCTCCGACGGGATCATGCTGCAGACCAGCAGCAGCATCCTCTGCCTCGCCTTCGCGGCCAACAGTGACGACAGCTCTCTCGGCATCATCGGCAACGTGCAGCAGCGGACGTTCGAGGTGCTGTACGACGTCGGAGGTGGTGCTGTGGGTTTCAGGGCAGGGGCTTGCTGATCGGCACCCAGCGGACCACAAGGACACAGACATTATGGGGTTCACCGTTCACGAGTTGTTGGTTGCTCGTTTGTTGCTGCCAGCTAGGAGTAACAGACATGAAAGTGAGGCCAAACCATCACTTATAGGCTATAGTACTTCGATTTTGATTGTTTTTTTTTTGTGATTGCAAGATAATGCAAGTGTGCAAAGTACCAACCAAAAGATAATTGTAATTTTATCCTCATAGTTTATGAATAAACAATAATAATGTATTACGTTGTTTTCACAATGTTTTTTTTATATTATGGAATGTCTTTTCACAATGAGTGATGATACTACCAATTATTGGTCTATCTATTATGATTATGATGAATGTTCATAAAATAATCGATTACTCACCATTGTCTTCCAACGAATGGCGCCCAGCGGACCACAAGGACACACTGACATTATGGGGTTCACCGTTCACGAGTTGTTGGTTGCTCGTTTGTTGCTGCCAGCTAGGAGTAACAGACATGAAAGTGAGGCCAAACCATCACTTATAGGCTATAGTACTTCGATTTTGATTGTTTTTTTTTGTGATTGCAAGATAATGCAAGTGTGCAAAGTACCAACCAAAAGATAATTGTAATTTTATCCTCATAGTTTATGAATAAACAATAATAATGTATTGCGTTGTTTTCACAATGTTTTTTTTATATTATGGAATGTCTTTTCACAATGAGTGATGATACTACCAATTATTGGTCTATCTATTATGATTATGATGAATGTTCATAAAATAATCGATTACTCACCATTGTCTTCCAACGAATGGCGCCCTCCAACGAAACCTCTGATTAATTCTCACTAAACACAGAAGAAGAAAAATCCTAAAAGTGCTCATACTCCCTTCGTCCTATTGGATATACTATTACCGATTGGAGGTCTCTAATGAAGAGCCTCCATATTAACTCTCACTAGATGCACTGAAAAAAAGAAAAAAAATAGAAATTCTCATAAAACCAGAAAGATTTTTTTCATTAATTCGATGGGCACTAACATAACTATTAGATCTATTATATCTTCTAAAACATAACACACCTTTGTCATTATGAAAAATGTAAAGTAGCCCTCAAAATTACTCACCAATACTATTAGAGCCACTCCAGTTGGCCCACATCCCAATTTTAAGGGCTTAGTGATAAAAGCGTCAACCTCTAACAAAACACTTACTCAGCTCTCATTGAATCCAGTGTCATGCATCCGCCCCTCCCCCCACCACCTTCGGTTCTGGCCTCCAAAATGCCCTCCCATTGTCTAGAATCGGCTCTCCCACTTCCCTTCGGTATCTTTTCTCGTTGGATTTAAGCTCCTAGCAGGAACCCTAGCTCAGACCATCTCATCTAAGTGTCGCCACCCTTTCTTTCAATCTTCCTTGAGGGCTACCCTGATAGTGATCTCCTTCCCTGCAAGTTGTTTTACCTGTGAGTTCGTCCTACTCGTGGGACGCTCCAACCAAAAGCTCATCCTCCCCGTTAACCTTCTCGACCATGAATTTGCTCTCCTAGTTGGTCTTTGACATTAAGAATGCCCTCCAAATAGGCCGCCCCCAACTACGAACTCACCCTAATCAAGCTCCCCTCCCTTCAAGCCTCACTGGACGTGAGCTTGCCCTCCTAGTCGGCCTCCTGGACTGTGAGCTCACCCTCTCGGACGCAGTCCTTGCCCAAGCTCCTTTACCTCGAGGTCGCTCGCCCCCATGCTCGGGCTTATGCACCTTGCCCCATGTTAAATATTTTTTCTCGAATATTGTTTTCAAGATTCGAATGGATTGTTCCAAATATTTCAAATTATTTGCAATTGGTGAGTTTGATTGTGAATGCTATGTCAATTTCTGTGCTAATCTGTTTGACAATTGTAGGACATTTGGTATGTCATTTTGTTTGTCAATTGTGAGAAATATCTATGTCAATTTGTTCGACAGACAGCTTGTTTGTCATTTCTTATGTTGGTGGACTCTACATCATGATGGTCTATGTGATGCAATGTACCATGTTTTAATTTAATGTACCGCGTTTGAATTCATGGATTTGAATATTATTCAAGTCAATATTGTAGTTTCAATTTAGGTAGTGACAAATAAATAGGACATAAAGTACATGTGCAGAAAAAAGAGAAATAGAAGTAAGAGCCCTGATTTGAGAGCAACCGATGGAGTTGAGCTCAGAAAAACAATGCGCTCAAGTAGGGGAGCTAAAAAGAAGGTTATGGTTTTAAGGCTAGGCTTTTGGTCGAGTTGCTTTTGTGAAACATAATATTAGTTACCCTAGATCTACATATCTACATATGTCTAAATTACCCACCATGCTACTATGACAGATAATCTTACATATGTGAAACAATATTGTGAAAAAACAAACTAAAATATCTCCTTAAATCTAAATATAAATTACCAACATAAATATGTTTAAATAGTCATAATATATGTTTCTAAATTATCCACTCATATTATCATTATTAACTAATGTTAAAACAAAATCTAAAGTTATGCACAAATGAAACATTATAACATATCGATCACCTTCTCGTGGGACTCTTGTCCGCGATGGCTGCGCGTGACATCGATCGCCATTTCGTGACCACTCCAATCTTACAGAGAACACACCACTACAAAAGAACAGGGCAGAGTAGGCCCACACGCCCTCCTAACACTGCACTAACTCGATTAGCAGCCCGTCGTCCAGTTGGTCAGCGAGACATGAGTCGTATATAGACCACCTTTGTATAAAGCAAATCCGAATCAATTGGAACGTTTATTTACGTCTCTGGTTAGCCCCTTAATTCCACCAACGAAAGAACTTCCACCGCTACTGTGTATGGTATACGCTCTCCTGTAGTTTGTCTGTACTATCATGTACAGTAGTATGTAACTTTGTATGTATCTCTGTACTCTCGTGTACGTACGTGCGTACACGCATATACTTGCTATACTACTAGTAATCTGTAATCTGAAGTCGTCGCCGACTGTTAATCGGTGAGTGGATGGATCAGCAGGAGCTGGGTCTGAACCCGACGGAGGTGCCGTCGATGCGCACCTCGAAGGACCGCTGCTGCACGTTGCCGAGGATGGCCATGCCACCGTCACTGCCGCTGGGCGCGAACGCGAGGCAGCCGAACAACAGGATCCCGTCGGCGCCCAGGGTCACGGTCGCGCCGCTGCTGAACGTGAGCGCCACGTTCGGGAGCGTCACCGCGCCGTACCCGGAGAAGTTGTAGCATGTGTCCAGGATCCCTGTCGGCGGCGCGGACGGGTAGCCGTACGAGGCCATGCCGCTGCGGAACGCGGACCGCAGCGCCGCGTACGCGGTCGGGGGCAGGCGGGTGATGACCGTGCCGGTGTCCACCACCGTCCCGCCCGCGAACACCGACGCGGGCACGCTCAGCTGCTGCCCGCCGACGCTGATGCCCGTCAGCATCACGACGTAGTAGGTCGGCGCGTTCGGCGACGACAGCAGCTGCGTCGTGGAGAAGCCCGGCGGCGCCGCGCCGGACGGCCCGCCCAGCGTCAGGTACCCCGTGGTGGACGGCTTCGTCGGGAGGCAGTAGGAGAAGACCCCGCCGTACGTGCCCGCCGTCTGCTCCACGAGCGACGTCTGCTCCCGGCCAAAGCCGAGGAGCCCGTCGTTGCCGGTGAACAGCCCGCTCTGCGCGTGCCCGCAGCCGAAGAAGAAGCCCCGCACCGCGTCGTTCGGCGACAGAGTCAGCGTGTCGGAGCTGTACACGCCCGTGGTGTTGGACCCGTCGCCGTAGCTGACCACGTACCCGCACTGCGCCGCCGAGCAGGCGGACGCGTAGATGCCCAGCCCTTCGCACACGGACCCTCCGCACGGCACGGCGGCGTAAGACGACGACTGGGCGGGGTCGAAGAGCGGGTCCTTCTGGCTGTAGCACGCCGGCGCCGCGCACGGCTTGCACTGCACCCACGACAGGTCGCTGCCGGTGTCCACCTCCAGCGTCTGCGCCACGACCGGCGTGCCGAGGCTCACCGTCACCACGTAGTTGAACGTGCCGATGTCCAACCCCCAGTTCGCCGGCACCGTCGCCGCCGCCTTGGAGTCCCACAGCTGAGGCGGGCCGCGCCCCGACACCCTCCTCAGTATGTACTCCGCCCGGCGCTGGTCTGCGCGCAGCGTGTCAGCAACCGACGGGGTCGCCAGGGAGGACGCCCGCGAGGGGGCGCACGGCCCGTGCTTGTGCGTCAGCCGCAGCACGGCGGACGTGCCTTTCCGCCGCTGCGGCGCAACTGAAACATCACCGAATTCCAGCCAGCGAATCAATCAACACTATCGAAATCGAAGCTCCCAGTCCCAACAAACACACACGCGGCAAAGAGAAACCGAAGCGACTGATCAGGCTGCCGCTACCCGCGTACCTGGGTCGGGGGTGCTGCAGGTTGAGGACGGCACGAAGCTGGCGGCGGAGACGGTGACGTAGCCGGGCCCGGGCGCCACCGCGGCGCCATGGGAGCAGGGCAAGAAACCGAGCGCTCCGGCGCAGAGGAGTGACAAGAGGAGTGCGCGGCGCACCACGGCGGAGCTCATGGCGTCTTGGTTCCGCTCGGATGGGGACAAAAGACGGTGCCTAAATAAGGAGGACAAATCGGGCCGCCGTCCTCGGCGGTGCAACGCGCGAGACCTGGTCGAGTGCGCCGGAGGGCGAGCCCATCATCTGTTGAAATCTGTGGAATTCTTCGTCATCTGGCGCGGTTCGCGGTAGACGGACTGGCGTAGTCGCTGCTGCCCGTGTCTTTTCCACGGCACGGCCAGCACTTGGGCACGATAGCACGATGCGATGCGAATGGTCTTCTTTAGGTAGGTCCTCCAGCACCGGACACCTTGCATGATCGATCCCAAGCCAAGTGCATACAACTGGCCGAGGCCAACCGAATTGACCTGTGATCCAACATAACACCAGTCAATTTGGATAGACTCGATCAGGTCAGTTTGATTCAACTTCCATCGTCAGCTGTGGAATGC